GTCACTTTGAATTGATTACTGCGTGTGCATCACTCTCACTCCTCAATGGTAATGTGTAGGTGGGTTTAGGAACTTCCCCTAGATTCTATTGGCTCTGTCGGTTCAAAAGAGGTTTCAATCATCAAAATCGACCGAGGGGGGCCAGAGCAACCTGATCTCACCAGAATGCGTGACTCCACCACGACTCCTTAACACCGCATTGCGTGGTGGAGTCACGCATTCTGCTACATTTACGTGTCGGCACCACGCAAAAAACCCCAATGTAATGTGAATGAGGCTCTTTTGTCGTGGTGCACACACGCATTCCTACAACGTCCTGCAGTGAGCTTTTATTCTACAAAAACATTTTTTTAAATCTACTTTATAGCTTGTAGTAACTCACGGAAGGCTTCTTTTATTTTATTTGTATTCATAATAATTCGTTTATTTTTCGTCAGAATGTAAAAATGACATTAGTTACGAATTGTTGTTCTCAAAAAACAGTGCATTGTGTGTAATACAACTGTGATTTTGATTAAATTAGTTAGTTTTTAAGGCAGGCCAGAGCTTCAGCTGTGTCAAATAGATTGTTCCCTTTAGTTAAAGTTATTTAAAAGATAATGATCATGTCCCCTTTATTGTATTACGAGCGTCCATTCCCATTTGATAACGGATAATTTTACACCCGGAAGTAAGTATTCTCCTTACTGTCGATTGATTTTACAATGATATCTGCACTACTCATCAACTCAAAAATACCAAATTATCCTTGTTAATTACACAACATTGATTGATTTAAATTGTGTAGAATGCTTTTGTATTTTTCCCCTTCGATTCGGAGAAACAAATATTTTTTCGGAGTTTTTCGATGGCAGAAGACACTAATCTACCCAGAATCCTCAGCTATCGTTTGGGATTACACCATGTGTTTAGCTTGGATTTAAAGGTAAAATCCAGAATAATATACGTACTCGCCTTTATCTTTTTGCGATCTTAGCCTTTTTACCAATTTCTTTATATCACAGTTTTACATGATGTCACTGTAGGACAATGTTTTAAGGATCTCTTGCTGAGCTAGGTTTTTAGTTTGAAATGTCTGGATGAAGATGTAACTAATTTACAAATGTTAAAGTGGACCTATCATGCTATATTTGAATAATATAGTGTAGGACCATACCTATATAAGGCATATTTTTTATTTTTCAAAATACCAAACAGATCATGCATTTTAGCCATTCCTCATTTCGCTCAATTTAACACTGTCTTTGCATGGGCTGATTCTGTGAGAACAGCACCATCTACAGGCCTGGCATATGTACTACAGCGTCTCCAGCGCTTTCGAACGGCAATGTCCGTGGCTGTCTCCTCCTGATTGGTGGAGTTGGTCCAATAGCTGTAGCGCCACTTCTGTGATGTCACAGAAGTGTTCAAATCTGGATCAGTCTGTATCAGATCCGTTGCAGCCCCTTTTTAAGAGATTTGGGAATGGAGGAAAAGGGGGAGGGTTGTGTTTTCTGTCACTTGGTGAGTTCCCTGGAACACCGGGGACACATATTCATGTATAAAAGACGTGCAAAAGTGAATTTTGCATGATAGGTCACCTTTTAAAAAAG